TTTAAAGGCTGAGTTGGCTGCGGAGGTACGATTGGACAGGCCAAGGTCGACACGGGCGGCCATGGAAGCAGCGCGACTGCACGAGGATCATCTCGCGGCAGTGCGCAAGGCTAGACCAAGCGAGGGGCGCACGGACGTGCGGCGCGCGAGCGTCGCGATCGACGATACGCCCCCACGGGCCGAGGTCAAGCCAACAGTAGGTGATGGTACACGCACCACTAGCAACTACCGACGGCTGACGGAGGATGAGATGCAAAGACGAAGGGAAAAAGGCTTGTGTTTTACGTGCAACGAGAAATTTACACCAGGCCACAAGTGCAAGGGAAAAGAAATTTTTGTGTTGGAAATTGAGGAGGGGCGAGAGGAAGAAAAGCCGCAGGAAGAGTCTTGGTTGCATATGGTGAAGTGCAACAAACGTGGGCCTAGGATGATCAGATTCACGGCCGAGGTGAAAGACATGTTGTTAGAAGTTCTGGTGGACAGTGGGTCAAGATTAAACTTCATCGACGAAAAGATAGCCCAAAAGCTGAAGCTAGAGCCCACAAAGGTCAAGAAGTTTGGTGTCAAGGTGGCCAATGGACATGAGCTGCAGGGAGATCTATTATTCAAGAAGGTCCCGATAATGGCACAGGATCACGAGTTGGAGATTGATCTCTATGCCTTACCACTTAAGGCAACTGATATTGTGCTCGGAGTACAGTGGCTGGAAACGCTTGGACCAATTACAACTGACTATAAGCGAGGAAAGATGGAGTTTGGACGACCAGGGAAGCATATTAAGTTGAGGACTGAGGATCAAGGTGAATTCCCCGTAGAAGAAGAAGATAGTGTTGGGGGTGTGCTGAACTTTCTCATCCTTGGGGACAAGGAATGTCTTGAAGAGGAGGGGAATGATGCGGAAGCGGTCGTCGAGGCCGAAGGATGGTCGGGGGTGACCGATGATCGAACGGGCGAAAGGTGCGCATCGGGCGGTGATGCGCGAGGACTAGTAGCCAGCACGCGGGTGTACGCGGGTTCACGCGGGGGCGCGGTAGGCGAGCAGGTCACGGGCAAAGGGAGGTACGCGCGGGCAGCGAGCGGAGGGCGAGCTGGGCGCGCAGGTGATGGTCACGCGGTCGGCGTCCAAAACCGTGCAGGCATAGAAGTGCGGGGCAGCGGGGCGTACGCACGCGGAATTAGCGGGCGAGGTGGTGGGCGCGCGATGGCGCGCGAGTGGGCGACAGGCGCAAGCGCAGGCCTATGCGCGGAAGGAATAGGAGGCGCTGGACGCATACACGCGCGGGGGCGGTCGCGAAAGAGTAGCGCGCAAGAAGGCGCGCGCGAGAAGCCTAGTCCGCGCGGGACTATGCAAGGCAATGGCGGCGCGAGGGATGACGCGTGCGAGGCGCGCGCGCGAAGCCACGCGCGACGAGGAATAGGCAACGCGTGCGACGCGTGAAGAGTAGGGCGGCCGAAGTACTTGGGGCGCATGAGTTGGATTTGTTTGGAGTGCAAGCCAAGCAAAATCAAGATCTAGTCAATTTAGGACTTTAGATATTTAGTTTCCTTCTTGCACAATAATATCTAGAATGTATAGGATATTTAATATTTTAATGCTTTAATATGTTTCCTAGGTAGATTAGAATTAGTCATAGTTAGGATCTATAAATAGGGATCATCCCCCATTGTTTTTCAGGTCTTGGAATAGAATAGAAAAGAACGTTAGTTCAAACCGTGTGTTGAGAGTCGTGAGATTCAATCATACAAATCGAATTGGTGAGGCTAAGACCCGAACCAGTTCAACGATTTAGAGAGGCTAAGACCCGATCTATTTCGCGAGTGAAACGAGGCTAATAACCAAGTGAACTCAAGTATCGTGAGAGAGTTAGGCTAATAACCGAGTCGATCACACCTATCGTCGAGAGCAAGGCCGTGGCGAAGCCGTGATCGAGACAAGTCGAGGACACGAACACCCGATCCTTCATCAACAGCCCTGCCCGCAGCAGCAGTCCGCTGGCAGTGCTTGTGCACGCCAGCAGTTCACCGCGCACGCCAGTCGCGCAAGGCCAGCGCCCATAGCGCACGGCAGCGCCCAGCCCGATGCCTGCGATG